GCAGCACCCAGGATTCCATTTATATATTTGGTTCTCCTAATTCACTGTGAACCTAGCTGGGGTTCCCTGTTTCTCTTGTGCCTCTTCACTACACTAGCTCAGCCTCCCCAGCCTTCTTTGCTCCAGCCTCTTCAGCCTGTTGGCCTCAGGTGTGCCAACAAGAAAGACTCAAGATTTCTTATAAACACCAGGTCTAGAAGGCAAAAGTGTCTGGAGAGTCAAGTTGAACATAGCTGCATCTAGGGAAGAACTTGCTGCCAACATGCTGTGTCCACCTTTTGGGAAGATTGTGATTTTAGTTTTACTTGGCTCTTTCTCACTTTGTGTCTCATTTATAATGCACTCACTGCATGCTAATTCAATCACAATCACCAAATAAAAAAGCAACTTTCTTGTAAAAATTACTCCCATAACAGAGATGTAGAAAATTTAATTTAGTTTTAATTTCTGATACACTCCAGCAGGACCTAAGTTATTTTCATTGCGGACTCTAGCCACATAAATATGTAACTGACCCCTGATTCATAGCCTGTGTGTGTTGTTTTATTTTTCCCATTTATGACTTCTTGTTTGCCATTTATGACCTCATGTTTGGGGAGAATGGAAGAATGGGACCAATGCCATTTGGTCCTATAAATCTCTTTCATGTTCTGTGGTACAGACGATGTACCACCCACTTTTTCTGGCTCTCAGATTCTTCGGTAGTATACTTTCACCACTGAACGTACTTGCTGCCCTCCAGTGGGGACTTGCATAATGATGAAAGGTGAAAAAAATGTTAGTTGAAGCAAAATAGCTGGGATATGAGGCTTGCAAATCAGGTAGTGCAACCAGGAAGTGTGATTGGGTAAAAAACTTTGTCTCTTTTGGCTTTTGTACCCCTAGATAAACCTTGTAAGCATATTTATGGTTTCCTGTGTAATATGATTGGGGAGCCCTGGTGGGTTTGATTTTGGGGTTTTTTTGTGTGTGTGTCATATTTGCAAAACCAGAGGTTCCCCCATGTAATCTAACGGAAAGTGCCACAAAAAACATCAGCAAACAAGGTCTGGTGGTAAAGACAGGAGACCGCTGATTATAAGGTTCGAGAACCTTACAAGTTCTGTGGTCATCACGTAGTGCCAGATAATATTTCTCAAAATCCATATTACCAACCAAAAATTTAAACACTCTCCATGATTCAGCATGCTTCCATTAATGAAAACACATGGTATCCAAAAAAAAAAAATTCAAAGCAGAAAATAATCGGACCTTGAAAGGGATAATCTTCCCATTTCCTTCCTTCGCTTTCTTCAGGGAGAGGCCCTGATGTTATATGGCTGAGCTTCCAAAAGGTGTGCCTAGATTGGGTCACATTTTACATATTGACCCTTAGCAGAAGCCCCACACCACTGCCTCTATTTACCGCAGTGTGCTACACACATGTTGTCACTTTACATGTGTGTCATGATGTGAAAAATGTGGCACAAATGGTTAAGTGCTCGGCTGCTAACTGAAAGGTTGGTTCAAGTCCACCCAGAGGCATCTCAGAAGAAAGCCCTGGGAATCTACTTCCAAAAGGTCACAGCCATTGAAAACTCTATGGAGCACAGTCCTACTCGGACACACATGAGGTCACTTGGAGTCAGAATCCACTCCCCGGCCACTGATTTTTTGGTTTTCTGCTTGAAGGCCACACGAAGGAGAAAGGCATTGAGCCTGGGGGCAGAAGGGTGAGGATACCCTCTCCTATTTTGCTGTCTCTCCAGGAGTAGCATAGCATTATAGTACTAAAACGAGTATGTTATATTTTAGATTAGTTATATAAACGTCCCGTTGCCATCCAGTCGATTCCGACTCATAACAGAATAGAACAGAGTAGAACTGTCCCACAAGGTTTCGAAGGAGCGGCTGGTGGATTCGAATTGCCAACCTTTTGGTTAGCAGCCAAGCTCTTAACCACCATGCCACTGGGGCGCCTATATAAATGTAGAAATCCTAAAAGTAAAATGTGGGGTGGAGAGAATAAACGTTCATTTTTCTGTTGTCTTCTGTTTATTTTAGTTGAACAACCTGGTTAACAATAGGTTAACTGTGATTAGTCAAAACTGTAAGTACTTTTAGAGAGATTTAGGTGTGAAATGCAAAAGACTCTATTGCCCAGGAGATCTGCAGGGACTTCCTGAAGATCTGATTGAGCTTCTATTACCTCTGCCCCCACCACTCCTCTGCCTTTGATACTATATCCTACATGCTTGGTTGTGCCTCTTGAATAAAACTTGTCCGATTAGATGCAATTCACTGTCATTTGTTTATGAATAAATAAATGGGAAATGTCAAGAGCAGTTCAATGCAGCTACATTTCTTAATCCACAAAATAAATCATCTGGTTAGTGTGTAGAAGTTCTTAACGTTGCTTTAGAAAAGTCCTTAACATGTCAATCCATGAGTTGAAAAACTACAACTTTGAAAAAAATTATTATTGCGTTGAATGGACATGGGAAATCAGGAGTGGAAGGGAGGAGAGTGCTGTCACAGTATAGGGAGAGCAATTAGGGTCACATAACAATGTATGTATGAATTATTGTATCAGAAACTAACTTGAAATGTAAACTTTCGCTTAAACTACAATAAACAAAAAAATAAAAATAATCATAATAAATTATTATTTCCAAGCTTCTCTTCATGCTTGGTAAAGTAGAGGGTCAGTGAAAAAGAGGCAGACCCTCAAGGAGATGCATTGACACATTGGCTGCAACAATGAGCTCAAGCATAACAACTGTGAGGATGGCGCAGCACTGGGCAGTGTTTCTTTCTGTTACACAGGGTCGCTATGAGTTGGAACCAACTCAGTGGCACCCAACAACAACGACAAATGGACTTTAGGAAATGCCGAGCTGTGTTGTTTTTATCTTGTTAAGCATAGCTGAGCATTGTCCCCTGGGTGTGACATGATGTTATTTCTCATGTGGGTCATTCACACCCCTTTCTTGTCAAGCTACCTGAGTCTCCTCTTTTTGCCTTCTTGGGATTCTACACATAACTAGCAAGGACAGAAGGAAGACAGCTGTCCCTTCTGAGCCCTTTCTCAGCTTCTCCTCTAGGCAGGCCCTTCTGAAATGTCTACTCTGCCCCGGGGCTGCCGCATCCCTTTCTATCCCCAGGGAAAAGCACTGAGTTACCAAAAACACAAAACCCTTTGCCACAGAGTCAGCTCCAACTCACGGCATGTGTCACAGGGTAGAACTGCTCCATAGGGTTTTCTTGGCTGTAATCTTTATTGAAAAGGAGCCCCGGTGGCACAGTGGTTAAGCGCTCAGCTGTTAACTGAAAGGTCAGCGGTTCAAACCCACCAGCGGCTCCGTGGGAAAAAGATGTGGCAGTCTTTCAATAAGGAGAAGGAGATGTGAGAGAATGGAAGGGGTCAGGATGAGCCCTATTAAACTGTTCTCCTACCACCACCCTTGGTTCCTTACACCCATTTCTCCCCGGCAATCCCACCCAACACACCCCTGGCCAGAACCAATGCTACTGTCCAGGGGTGGACAAACTTTTTCTGTAAAGGGCCAGATAGTAGATGTTTTAGCTTTTGTAGGCCCCATAGACTTTGAAAGGGTAAAAAAAATTCTTAGCTCATGAGCTGTACAGAAGTGGGCGGTGAGCAGTAGTTTGCTAGAATCTGCTTCTCTCTCCTGTCCCTAGGCATCAGAGCTCGGTTGAGAAAAGCCCCACATTTGGAGATGTGCCTAGTATGTGATACCCAGAATGAATCATTTTTAAATACCCCTCCTCCATTGCAACAAAAATACTTTCAAATAACCTACGAGTGATTAGAGTACCAGAACAGGGGGGAATAACAGAAAATACAGAGAAAATTGTTGAAGATTTGTTGACAGAAAACTTCCCTGATATCATGAAAGATGAGAAGATATCTATCCAAGATGCTCATCGAACCCCACATAAGGTAGATCCCAAAAGAAAGTCACCAAGACATATTATAATCAAACTTACAAAACCAAAGATAAAGAGAGGATTTTAAGAGCGGCTAGGGATAAAAGAAAAGTCAGTAATTATGTAATAATCAATACAATAAAATGATAATCATTTTCTTATTTGTTCTAAGACAATTAATTATAAAGAGAATGAAACCAAACCAAACTGTTTGCCATCCAGTTGCTTCCAATTCATGGCGACCTCATGTGTGCGGAGTAGAACTGCTCCGTAGGATTTTCAAAGCTGTGACCTTTCAGAAGCAGACTGACAGGCCTGTCTTCCGAGGTACCTCTGGGTAGGTTCGAACTGCCAACTTTTTGACTAGTAGTTGAGTGCTTAACTGTTTGCTACCCGGAGGCTTCAGCAACTGGTTCAGCTCCCATCAAGTCTCCCGACTCTCATCAGAACATCTTGAGAGAAGTATCTATGCAAAGCCCAAGTCGCGTAATTTCTCTTCCTTGTATAAATGATTGTTCATAATGTGCAACATAAACTCCCAGTTCCTTAGCTGGCACACAAGGCCCGCATGATCTAGCCCTTGCCTACATAAGCAGCCTGTTCATCACTATAATATCCAAGTTCCTTTAGTCTGATTTCCTATTTTCCAAGTAATTTTCTAGTAACTAATTCAGTTTCCCAGGGTAATGCTGGGATGGGTGTCATGGATTGAATTGTGTCCCCCCAAAATTATGTGTATCAGTTTGGCTAGGCCATGATTCCCAGTGTTGTGCTGTAGTCTTCCATTTTGTGATTGTAATTTTACATGAAAGGGGATTAGGATGGGATTGTAACACCACCCTAACCCAGGTCACATCCCTGATCCAACGTAAAGCGAGTTTCCCTGAGGTGTGGCCTGCACCTCCTTTTATCTCTTGTAAGCAAGTGGAGAATCGGGGACCTCTACCACCAAGAAAGCAGTGCCAGGAGCAGAGCGTGTCCTTTGGACCCGGGGTCCCTCCACAGAGGAGCGCCTCGTCCGAGGGAACATTGATGAGAAGGCCGACAGAGAGAGAAAGACTTACCCTGGAGCTGATGCACAAAATTTGGACTTTTAGCCTACTTTACTGTGAAGAAATAAATTTCTCTTTGTTAAAGCCATCCACTTGTGGTATTTCTGTTTAGAGAAGCACTAGATGACTAAGACAATGGGTATGGGTGGAGTGGTAAATGTATGTGTCTTGTATATCAGACACAAGTATTACCAGTATTAAGAAAGCTGTATCTCCCATCGTAAAATAAGAAATTGGCCTTCTACTTTATCAGTCATCCCCCTGAGGCTCACCCACCCCGGCTGTACTGAATAAATTGAACACTTGGATCCACAAAATCGAGAACCAGATCTTCCGACAGGGAAAACAAGTTTGGCCTTGATCCTTGATTGCTGTGAAATAACCCTGGGAGTAACTGAGATGCCTTTATCTGAAACCTCCAGACCATACCTAAAGATTTATGCTAACGACTGGGAGCTGGCCAGAGTAGAAAAGACTCACCTGGTAGGCCAATGTCAACTAACTCAGGAGACAAGATGTAGCCTATCACACTTGTGCAATGACGGCTCAATCATCAGGGGCTGATTGAAAGCTCTGAACACAGAAGGTCTCAAAGCTTCCTGGTTGTGAAGGGAGGTGACACGCCCTCTTTGGGACATGGAAGCTTTGCCTTGGGAGCCCTCCCAGACCTCACCCATCCATCTCTTCCTTATGATGATCCTGATTTGTATCTTTTTACTGTAATAAATCTGTAGTCTTAACTAGAGTGTTTTCTGTGAGTTCTGTGAGTCCTTCCAGTGAATTATCAAACCCAAAGGAGGAGTGGGAGCCAGCAGGTGAAAGTGAGGGTTCCCAGGGGAGGCCCCCGAGCTAGTGGCTGGCATCCTAACAGGGTAGTGGGAAAACCCTGAATCTTTGGCCATCAAGTCAGAAGTTTGGAGTGTCATGTGGACTCCCCAAACTTGCAGCTGGCCTCTGCCTATTTGGCACTCTGCAGGACAGTGTCCTTTTAACTTGTGAGATCTGCTCTAGCTGTGGGTGGCTAGGGTCAGAGAAGGTGCCATGTGGGCGGCTGGTGTCAGAGATTATGAAGTGGGAAAGTGGGGATCAGATTTATGCTGGTTCTTATCCATGAAGGTCCCAACAAGGCAAAACCACCCTGAAAGGCTGCCTGAGACAAGTGTCTTCCTTCCCTAACATCTTTCTTGCTACCTGTCAGTATCCATCTCTGCAAGGGACACAGCATATGGGCTTTGTAGTCAGGAATAGCTGAGTCCAAATCCCAGTTTGCAATCTGGCTGTACTATTTCCTGGCATGAGACTTTGGGAAAGTCACTTCCCTTCTCTGAGTCTACTTCTATTTCTCAAAAATAGGGATTGCAATACTTACCACACAGGATGAAACTTATGCTTTACGTGTAAAAATGAAACAGGTTTCCTAAAAACACTTGTGTTGTTGTTGTTAGGTGCCATCAAGTTGGTTCCGACTCATAGCGACCCCGTGTACAACAGAACGAAACACTGCCCGGTCCTGCGCCATCCTCACAATCGATGTTACACTTGAGCCTACTTGGAATGAGGAGTATTCCCAAATCAGCATAATGACAAAGATTCATCTGAAGGTCTGATGTGATGAGGGAGAGGTAGAGCTGTTAAAAAAAGATAAAGGATGCATTTTGTCTTTATGTTCAATGAAATTATTTGCTAAATATATTTCAGAAAATCTTGGAAAATGTATACAAGTCATGAAAACATTGGGTATGAGTTTGAAGATGACCCCAAGGATAAGAAGACACTTAAACCCCACCCAGACATTGACGGCGGATGGGCCTGGGTGATTGTCCTTTCCTCCTTCTTTGTGCACATCCTCATCATGGGCTCCCAGATGGCCCTAGGGGTGCTCAACGTGGAGTGGCTTGAAGAATTCCACCAGAGCCGCGGCCTCACGGCCTGGGTCAGCTCCCTCAGTATGGGCATCACCTTGATTGTGGGTATGTTCACACGTGACCTGTTGTAAACGTGAATGATTCTGAGAATTCCCCCTCTCTATTTTTGTTGTCTTTAGTTGCCATTGAGTCGATTCTGACTCCTAGAGACCCATGCTCTAGTAATGTTTTATATTGTTGAAACATTGGATATTAGATGTTGGTGAAATTTCTATCTGGATTTTGAAATCATTTGGAGGATTTGAAAAAAGGATCATTGTGAAAACTCTCCTTTGCCCCAAATTCGGTTTTCTAAACTGTTCTAATTCATTCTCTATCATTATTATAAACATCTGTTTATTTAACATTTATGGATATTTTAAATGAATAAAAATTTTAGAGCAAATACTATGCCAAACCGAACCTGTTGCCACTGAGTCAATTCTGAGTCATGGTGGCCCCGTGTGTTACAGAGTAGAATCGCTGCATAGGGTTTTCTTGGCTGTAATCTTTACAGCAGGTCGCCAGGTCTCTCTTCCATGGTGCCACTGGGTGGGTTTGAGCTGCCAACCTTTAGGTTAGTAGCTGAGCACAAACTGTTTGTACCCCCCGGGGACCTAGCAAACAGTGTAAAAGTCAAGTAACAATCCTATTTCACAGTTCTGATGTTTCTAATTTAAATTATTCATCATACATTATTTAAAAACCTAGCTTCCTAAAAATAGCTTAGAAAGATTCTTGATGTAGCTAACAGGGAGGAATAATAATATAGTCTTGTATTTTTCTAGTTAAACCTAAACTCACAGCAATCCATGAAAACAATTCTTATGTACCTGGAGATACTATACTAGAAAGTCATTATAAATACAGCGTGCTATTATGGCTAGGAGCCCTGGTGGCATAGTGGTTGACGCAGTTGACCGCTAACTGAAAGGTCGGCGGTTTGAATCCACTAGCTACTCCAGGAGAAAGAGGTAGGATGTGACAGTCTGCTTCCGTAGAGATTTACAGCCTTGGAAACCCTATGGGCAGTTCTACTCTGTGCTGTAGGGTCGCTATGTGTCGGAATTGACTCGACTGGCAACGGGTTTGGTGGTGCAGTGGTTAAGCGCTCGGCTGCCAACCCAAAGGTCAGTGGTTTGAACCCACCAGCAACCCTGGGGGAGAAAGATGTGGCAGTCTGCTTTGGTAAAGATTACAGCTTTAGAAACCCTATGGGGCAGTTCTACTCTGTCCTATATGTCCTATGAGTTGGAATCGACTTGATGGCAATGGGTTTGGGTTTTTGCTTTTTTTAATATTTCATTTGATTTTATTTAATTCTCTTAATCCTTTGAGGTGACTACTACCATACCCTACTGTTTGCTTCCTTGAAAGTAAAAGCTGTGCTTTTACATCTAATTTTTTTTTTAGATTTAAAGTATTCATGCTGTATTTTATACTGGATCTTTCTCTGGGCTTGTGAGACTATGTGTATGACAGGCATATGTGTGTTCGATGGAGTATATGCCGTTTCAGTGATTTCTACATTAGTAATTAATTGCTTGAATCCAATTAAGAGATTTCGTTGATCTTTGCTGACCTTCAATCAATGTTATTTTTGATGATACAGACAACAGCGGTAGTGCTAGGGAGTTATTTCTCCAGATGTGTATTGTGGGTCTGCGTGTATTTACCAAAAGAAATTAAAACTTACCTAGTTTTAAAATTAAAATAAGGGCACCATTATGTGTGTCAGAGAATTGTTGATAAATCTTTTTTGGCTGTAAAATTATTGAACTGACTCTTTTAACCCTGCATCAGCCTTGTTCAAACTGTGAAAAATGCAAATAGATTTAAAGTGCAAGATTTAAAATAGATTTAAAAACAGATTTACTTTGACGTAGAGGATGTTCTAGTTTTATGTTGGATGTGATTCTACCTTCTCAATAAGTTAGTAAAGGAAAACTTTGCTTCCATAACACTTAAAACTCAGCTACTTCTTTTTTAATGTATATTTTTAAGGGCTAGGAAATCTTTTCTAGACTCAACCTAAGACGTGCATACATGCAGCAAAAAAGAAGATCCAGAAAAAGGCCAGGAAATGAAGTATCCCAGTATTTTCCAAACAACCCAATAAGGCTGTCTTCGGTATTATTTTTATATTTCATGAGTTCCACAGAATTAAGGAGTGGAAACCAGGCCTGAACTTACTAGGTATGGTTTTGAAGATGACCTCAAAATATGAACACCTCGCTCATACTGATGGCGACATGTGGTTGTAACTGTGTCCGGAATCCCGTAGCTCCCGAATTCTGGGCCGTGGAATTTCAGATTGTAAGCTAAGCTTTCTACAGGGAAAGCTGCTGACCTGGGGCTCAGAAATCAGAACACAGTGGGGCACATAGTTCTATAAATGAAAGATCTTTTATTCCATCTATTATGACTCTAAATTACTGTTCATTATCTTAAGCTTCCTAGTACAAGGTGGTGCAGATATGCTGAGCAACATGAGCGCTCTTTACCAAGCCAGAAAGCAGCCACCAGGTCTCCTTTATTGAGTGCTTACTACACGCCAGGAGCTCATTTGATCCCAAAACAACCCTGGAGGCCAGACCATCATCTCTCTCCTATAAACGAAGAACATGCAAGACTCAGAGAGAGATTAAGTAATTTAGAACAGCCAGTAAGGGTGGGACAGGCTTCAGACCTGGTCCATTGGGCTCCAAAATTACCACTGTGACACTCTGCCTGCCGCTACATCAAACAAGATCTGATGAAGTGAATACATGTCAATTATTCTTACTTTCTAAGTGTCATCAGCACATTTGGGTTACCTTTTTTAAATTGAAAATAAGTCATGAGTTATGTTACAGTAGCTGAATGTCATCTCTTTCTTGCACATGGTAAAACCAATAAATACACATGGTTTGATTCTTTACTAGCGTGGATTTGTAGATTCCTGCAGAAGATCCAACTTTTAACAAAATGCCATCTCCTGATTCATATCTACAGCAGCCCCTGTGATAGCTCTTGGAATAATTCTTGGCCATATTGTTAGGGGAATCCATCGACTCTGCAAGGGATAATTCACTTGCTATAAATAGATTTAGAGACCCGGTTCTCACTCTTAGCTGTGCATCAGAACCAACTGGGGAGCTTTTAAAAATCCTGATGTCCAGGTTGCACCCGGCCCATTACATCAGAATCGCTTGGGATGGGACCCAAGCATCAGGACTGTTTTCCTCTTTTATGACGCTCTCAGCTGAATCCAATGTTCAGCCAAGGCAGAGAACCATTGATTTAGAGGGTCCTCTTTACCATCCGTGAGTGGTGCAAATGGTTAATATGCTCAGCTGCTAACTGAAAGGTTGGAGGTTTGAGTCCACCCAGAGGCACCTCAGAAGAAAGCCCTGGCAATCTACTTCCAAAAAAAATCAGCCATTAAAAACACTATGGAGCACAGTTCTACTCCGACACAGATGGGGGGGGATCTGGGTGGAGCTGACTCGATGGCAACTGGTAACTTTCCCATAGTGAGGGGTTACTCCAGGTGACCTGGGGTTCAAAGAACTATCTGCTTTCAGCTGCCAAGTTTCATCCACAAGACTGCTCATCTCCTCACCTCAGTTTTTCCAACCTATCAGATGCCGGGATAGGCAAAAAAGTGATAACTTCCTGCGAGTGTTCACCCCGCACCTGCCGCAGTGTGATACTTTATTACATGGAAGTGGGCCAAGGTTCAGATTCCTTCTGGAGAGGAGAAAGCCTGATAATGTGTATCATCTCCTTACAAAGTGTTGCATTTCTCTAGAAAAGTGTGAGTCATCGCAAAAGGGTGGTTGGAAAATTCAGATCAGAATATATTATCTCAAATTTATTATCAGCTTGCTCTCCGAAGATTGTGTGGGGAGTTCTGTTCATTTCGTTCAAGTGGCACTTGGATCCTGGAGATGCCAGCTGACCATCAGTAAACCATAGTCAGAAAACAAAACAGAGTTAGAGAGCTTGGGCTTGACTTTTTACATTTTATTTTGTAATTACGGAGGAGTCTCTGTATTTCTGGGTCTGACTTGCCCATCTGCAAATCACAGAATGTCCCAAGACCCAGCATGCATGGGGCAAGAGTTTCAGCATCTAAGAACCAGACACAGTTATCAGCGTAACGTTCCTGTCAGTAAAGCAATTAATACCTCTTCCTGACGCACAAATTCCTGCAGACAGGAACAATTGCACCCACTTTGGAATCGCCCCCTTTTATTTCATCAAACGCCATTTAATGTAAGGTTACATAAACATTCAGTATGTCAAGAAATCTAGCTTCTGAGCCCTTTCTGTAAAATATAATCATGCTACTGAATTGTTGGTAAAGTAGAGGGCCAGTGACCCTCAACGAGATGGATTGACACAGTGGCTGCAACGATGGGCTCAAGCATAACGATTGTGAGGATGGCACAGGACCGGGTTGTGTTTTGTTCTGTTGTACACGGGGTCGCTATGAGTCAGAAGCGACTCAGTGGCACCTAACAACAACTGAATTGTGATCTGTTGACCTTTCCTGTCTTAAAAGGGCCATTAACAGCAAACCGACAAGTCATGCATTTTTCTCCTTTTTACCCACTCATCAGAGCTGCACGTGGTCAACTGGTCATGGGTTTAGAAAAATAAAAATCATTGTACAGGAATCAAAGAAACATCTTCAGCTTATCACTCCTGAATTTCAGTTGCCTCCAGTGATTCCCTTAGATGTTTATGTTAATGTGCTTGCTTTATACATTGTGTATATAATATGCTTATTTGTCAATATATAAGTACATGACGTATTTATAACACATAAATAATGTATGTTATGTATTTATGTGTTACAAATTTGTAATATATTATTCATTTAATGTAAATATGATGTATTTGTGTTATAAATAGATAATATGTAGTATATATTTACATATAAAGTATATAATACAGTAAGTCTATTTTAAGAGATTTAAACAAAAAAACCAAACCAGTTGCTGTCGAGTCGATTCTGACTCATAGCGACCCCTATAGGACAGAGTAGAACTGCCCCATAGGGTTTCCAAGGAGCGGCTGGTGGATTCGAACTGCCAACCTTTTAGTTAGCAGCCGTAGCATTTAACCACCGTGCCACGAGGGCTCCAATCTACTGAATTATTTTCTGTAATGCAACAGGTTAATTATATTAGTAAGTTTGTCTTCATAATTTGTAGGATTGGACCTCTCAAAACCATTAGACAAACTCACTAGCGGACTGAACGTGAATATAGTTGGAACTTTAAAGTAAAATTTTATTGCAGTTTGGGCTAAAAAGGTGGAGCTCCTTAGAGTTCAGCAAGTTTTTAACCTGAAATACTCCCACTTGAATATAGGATTTCATAACTCTATAAAATAATAATGATCAAAAATAAGATGATGTTTACAATGTGTCATCTTACCGAATAGTGAGTAGAGTCCCATACTGTACGTGCGAGAATCGGAATGGCTATTTGAGCCTGAACCAGGAAGCGTTGATCGCAAGGTCATCATGAAGCCTCAGTGGCATTGGAAATTACCACAGAATCAGAAAGAAAACAAAGAGGGTTGACAATTAAAAAACAGTGTCATTGTGAAGTAAGCTATCAGCATATGTATCATATAACACTTTGCTGTGAATATTGCCACATGGAAGTATATTCCTGAATCCCCACATGGTGCCATAGCTGATAGCCTGAGGGGTCCAGTCAGGGACTGGGAGAGTCAGCAGGCGCTGAGGTATGTGCAGAGCAGTGACTAAGAGTGCTTTTCAGCTTTGTTTGCATCTAGGTGTCCTCATGAAAACAGTCTAGAGAATCCCTGCTTGAAGCACAGCAGTCCTGAGAACCCCCTTTCTGAACTCCTTTTAGGTCGAAAACTCAATGATCTACAGAGGCCAAATGAGTAAGGTAAATGAGGGCAGGAAGCCAGGTGTAAGGCAAGAGGGAAGGGTGGAGACTGTGGCAAACCAAATAGGGCATGACCCAGCTAAATGGGGATAGCCGCTACGTGGCTCCAGCTGGTTTTGGCTTTGTGGGAAAGCAGTCTGTGTTGCCACCATATTTTCTGTGAACTCTCTTAACTTTTAATTGTTAGCAGCTGATTGAAAACACTTTTTATTTTTTTTTATTTATTAAAACACTTTTTAAACTTTGGGACAAACAAAACACATCGTCAGGTTGGATATAACCTCTAGACTCCTAGTTTGTTGTCGTTAGTTGCCGCTGAGTTGGCGCCGACTCATGGTAACCTTATGTACACAGAACAAAATGTTGCCCAGTCTTGAGCCATCCTTACAATCGTTGGTATGCTCGAGTGCGTTGCTGCGGCCACTATGTTTTGAGTGCCTTCCAACCTGGGGAGCTCATCCTCCAGCACTATCTCAGACAATATTCTGTTGTGATCCATAAGGTTTTCAATGGTTAATTTTCAGAAGTAGATGCCAGGCCTTTCTTCCTAGTCCATCTTAGACCTCTAGTTTACGACTTCCGTTTTGGACAAGAGTGGACCAGTTTGTTTATTTACTTCAGGTCCTCCTTCCTGGAAAACCTAGAACCTTGTACTCTCCGATGAAATTATTTAAGTCCATCTTTGCATGCTAGAAGGTTTTTGTATGTAAAGCAATGTTTACATAACGGCTCTAGTAATGTTTTATTCTTTGTCGTCATATGAGCACTTACTAAGAAAGAATGAAAATAAAATCCCAGCCGTCAAGTCCTTTGTCGCTGTTCTGTGACAGGGCCGTTCATTGGCTTGTTCATCAACACGTGTGGGTGCCGCTGGACCGCGTTCGTCGGCGGCGTGATAAACGCCCTTGGCTGGGTGCTGAGTGCCTACGCCGCAAGCGTGCACTGTCTCTTCATTACATTCGGCGTGGCGGCTGGTAAGCACGTTTATTTTTTAACTGGATTTTCAGTGTTTCCGTTGGACGTTTTGAAAATGAATTTAATTGTGGAGCAAAGAGACCCATTAAAAACATTCCATTCTTTGGTCTTCTCCACCCTCCTCCCCACTACACTCCGGCAAATACTTTTTAATACAAGATATTAAATGTGCCTGAAGTGTGGAAACCAACCTAACAATTGTAGGTGGCTTTCCTGATAGAGTGAAATTAAATTTCCCACGCCTGATTCTAAATATTAGCTCTTTTTCCCTTATGAGACACAGAAGATAGGGAGGTTACCTACAGACGTAAGTGAACAGAGCAAATGTTAACAACTGACTAACATCCGCTCATTTAACACCTGCAGAACTGGGTGTGAGTCACAGAATAATCATTTTCTCCTTCAGCCTTGTTCACGTTAATGAAATTGCAACAAAATCCACAAACATGTAGAGACTTTTCAAGAAGCAAATCTAGAGCACAGTTAGGGTGTCCTCTCTCAGGGAGTAGGTTAAAATTGGCTTCAGACAGCACAGGTTTGCATATCTGTTCTGCAAAATATGTTCCCAGCCACAATTTCCTGTATCAACAGGTAGTGGAGTTCCACAGATCCGCAGTACTTATTTGTACAATTTTATTTCAGTGAACCTGATACAACCTGGTTTTTTTTCTTTGTAAGTACAGAACTGCAATCCTCCTAATAAATGACATATTTACAGCAATGTTAGAAGAAGGTTCAAAGTTACAGTTTGGAATTTGGGTTTTATTACCACTTATCAGCTGTATAACTTTGGGCAAGTCACTTAACCCACCTAGGCCTCTGTTTCTTATCTGCAAAATGGGGATCGTAAGAATGGATACTGTCTTAGTTATCTAGTGCTGCTGTAACAGAAATACCACGAGTGGATGGCTTTAACAAACAGAGATTTATTCTTTCATAGTCTAGGAGGCTAGAAGTGCGAATTCATGGCACCAGCTCTAGGGGAAAGCTTTCTCTGTCTATCAGCTCTGGGGGAAGGTGCTTGTCATCAATCTTCCCCTGGTCTAGGGGCTTCTCAGTACAGGGACCCCGGATCCAAAAGACCTGCTCCCCTCCTGGTTCTTCATTCTTGGTGGTAGGAGGACCTTATCTTTCTGCTTGCTTCTCTCTCCTTTTATCTCTTGTAAGATAAAAGATGATGCAGCCCACACCCCAGGGAAACTCCCTTTACATATGATCAGGGATGTGACCTGAGTAAGGGTGTTGCATCCCACCCTAATCCTCTTTAACATAACCTAATCTTGTGTCATTAACCACAGACAGAGATTAGGATTTATAACACATAGGAAAATTACATCAAATCACAAAATGGAAGACAACCACACAATACTGGGAATCATGGCTTAGTCAAGTTGACACATATTTTAGGGGGACACAATTCAATCCATGACAGGTGCTTTAGAAGGTTATTGAAAAGATTACCCATTGCCGCCAAGTCAACTATGACTCATAGTGACCCCATAGGGCAGAGTAGAACTGCCCCATATTGTTTCCAAGGCTGTTATCTTTAGGAAAGGCAATACACAATATGGAAGAAGTCAGCACAACTTGACCAAGTAAAGGAAGACACTGAGAAGTACACAAGAATAAAGGACAGCTACAGTAAATGCTGTAACATATACAATCTCGCAACAGTAATAACAAGCAAAAAATATGACAGTGGTTACATAAGTAGATATGTATGCTATATGGGTGTAGGAAGCTATATGGGAGTACATGTGTGTGCATATATAGGTATATTTGTGGGCATATGTATATACATGTTTGTATGTGCTGCATATGTATTCATATATACAATAAAGCACATGGGGGCACAGTTAGGGATACCATCTAGACACATCCAAACACCTCATGGGATTGATTCACTGGGTTTGATGGGCTCAGGACCATAGTCTCGTGGGACAACAAATGGCATAACTTAGTTCATGAAGATAATGGTCTACATCCTAGTTTGGTAAGTAGCGTCTGGGGTCTTAAAAGCTTGAGAGTGGCCATCTAAGATACAACTATTGGTCTCTTCCCGTCTGGAGCAAAGGAGAGTGAAGGCAACCAAAGACTCACGGAAGAAATTAGTCCACAGGACTAATGGCCCATGAGAACTACAGCCTCTTCTAGCCTGAGACCAAAAGTACTAGATGGTGCCCTGCTACAACCACTTACTGTTCTGACCAAGGACACAATAGGAGGTCCCTGTTAGAATGGGAGAAAAATGTAGAGCAATACTCAGATTCATAAAAAAGACCAGACTTACTGGACTGATAGAGACGAAGGGAACCCCCGAGACTTTTGCCCTAAGATACTGTGAGGAATATGCTCCTTTAAAGAATCAACTATATGAGACCAAACGGTCAACATTTACCCAAAAGCAAAGAAGAGAAGGCAAGGAGGGGCAGGGAAACCGGATGGATGGAAATGGGGAAGGTGGGGTGGAAATGGGGAGAGTGCTGACACGTTGTGGGGATTGTAACCAGAGACATGGAATAATATGTGTATCAGTTGTTGAGTGGGAATCTAAGTTGCCATGTAAAGTTTCACCTAAAATACAATAAAATATTCCAAAAAAAAGAAAAGATTAAATGAGGTAATCTGTGTAAAGCACTTAGCACAATGCTTGGCACATCATAAAATGCTCAGTAAATGTTAGCTTATATGTATATACGTATATGTATATACAAAAAAAATGCAAAAAACCAAACCCGTTGCTGTTGAGTCAATTCCATAGTGACCCTACAGGACAAAGTAGAACTGCCCCATACTATTTCCAAGGAGCGCCTGGTGGATTCAAACTAGCAAACTTTTGGTTAGCAGCCGTGGCTCTTAACCAGTATGCCAGCAGGGTTTCCATGTATATATGCATAATATAATATCTTTTTATTATAAGCTTGAGTATATGCCTTTGAGCACAAAAATCTACTGTCCATATAAGTCGATAAGTTGGTTTACGGTAATGAACATGTACACATGTAGAGCACTTCCATAGCCTTTGAAACACAGTTTGAAAACCATTGATATGAAGGAGCTGATAATGGTTCTTAAAGAGCCACTGAAGATGCTTTCCCGAGGGTTTTAGCGGCTTTTCCTGTAACCATCCGCTGGATGGAGCTGGCACTGGGAACTTGGTACTACAAGTGAGGAAATGACACCCCTTTGGCTGAGACTAGGAAACCGCATTGAGGTCTCTGCGAAGACACATGGGACCCCACAGTAACCTGATGTTGTGGCGTCTGGTTCTATGGGCTATGATTCATCCTCAAAACTAGAACTTGGGATTTATTCTGAACATTTAGAGAGTCCCACGGTTAGACTGTTTGCTTTAACGGAATTTTATTTATTGCAGTTAATTACTTATTGCTCCTCAAATAGTTTTAGCCCCATATTCATTCTCTCATTCATTCACTTATTCATTTAGCAACTATTTGTGAAGCGAAGGTTTTTATACAGGAAACTGCCCCCAGTTTTTATATAGGAAAAATCCGAAGAACGTCTCTGAAAGTAAGCTTCTCTCTCTCCACCTGAAATATTTCTGTCCTCTTATCTTTATTCTAGAGGCATATGTAGCTCTAGCATAGGGGTGAAATATTTCAATATATAGTCACTATGAGTCAGAATTAACTCAACGGCAATGGGTTTGGTTTGGTTTTTTATATTTCGGTATGTATATATACATATATACACATACACATATTATATATATATAGTTGAACGGGAATCTAATTCGCTGTGTAAACTTTCACCTAAAACACAATAAAATATTCCAAAAAAGAGAAAAGATTAAATGAGGTAATCTGTACAAAGCACTTAGCACAATGCTTGGCACATCATAAAATGCTCAGTAAATGTTAGCTTAGATGTATATATTTAAAAAAAGCAAAAAACCAAACCCGTTGCCATTTATATATGGAGCCCTGGTGGCACAGTGCTTAAGAGCTTGGCTGCTAACCAAAAGGTCAGCAGTTCAAATCCACCAGCTGCTCCTTGGAAACCCTATGGGGCAGTTCTACTCTGTCCTATAGGGT